TGGATATCACGCCGGAGAGTTTTGGGGTGTCTTAGCTCTAAGTCCTCCACCGCCCAATGGGGGACTTTAGTAATTTTGCTTTAATGCCTTACCAATAGGCATTAGCCTTAGGTTGTGCTTACAAAAACCCTCTTCATCCTGTGGGGGAGGTAGAGAGGGGGGGGGCGCATGGCCTCTATTTTTCAGGGGGGGTTCGGGTACGGGTTGGGGGTTGGGTCTATGTGTGCTGTTTTCTCGAATCGTCCCCTCACTATAGCTACTTTGGGTTTTCAGTATACAGCTATCCTCACTCAACGCGTCCACGTGTCCGGCAATCTCCAATACAAATCAACCTGTGAGGTTTCAGTATGCAGCTTTCTTCACTCAATGCGTCTATGTGTCCGGCGGTCGCAAACGCCACCCAACGCGTTGGGTCTCAATATGCAGCTATCCTCACTCAAAGCGTCTTTGTGTCTGGCACTATCCAACATCACTCAACTCGTGAGGTTTCAGTATGTAGCCATCCCCACTCAGCGCGTCTATGTGTCTGGCTAACTCAAAAACCAATCCATCTGTGAGGTTTCATTATGCAGCTACCCTCACTCAATATGTCTATGTGTCCGGCAGTCGCAAACGTCACTCAACCCGTGAGGTCTCAATATGCAGCTATCCTCACTCAAAGCGTCCACGTGTCTGGCACTATCCAACATCACTCAACCCGTGAGGTTTCATGTAGCTTTCCCCACGCAGCGCGTCTATGTGTCTGGCTAGCTCAAAAACCAATCCATCTGTGAGGTTTCAGTATGCAGCTATCGCCACTCAACACGTCTATGTGTCTGGCTAACTCAAAAACCAATACATCTGTTAGGTTTCAGTATGCAGCTATCCTCACTCAACACGTCTATGTGTCCGGCACTATCCAACATCACTCAACTCGTGAGGTTTCAGTTCGTAGCTATCCCCACTCAGCGCGCCTATGTGTCTGGCAAACTCAAAAACCAATCCATCTGTGAGGTTTCAGTACGTAGCTATCCCCACTCAACGCGTCTATGTGTCTGGCTAACTCAGAAACCAATCCATCTGTGAGGTTTCAGTATGCAGCTATCGCCACTCAACGCGTCTATGTGTCTGGCAAACTCAAAAACCAATGCATCTGTGAGGTTCAGTATGTGTCTATCCTCACTCAACGCGTCGATATGTCCGGCACTCCAACATCCCTCATCCCGTGGGGTCTCAGTATGCAGCTATCCCCACTCAATCCGTTCATGTGTCTGGCAATCTCAAACCTCACTCAACCCTCGAGGTTTCAGTATACAGCTGTAATCACTCAACACGTCTATGTGTCCGGCAATCTCCTACATCACTCAACCTGTGAGGTTTCCGTGAACAGCTATCCTCACTCCACTCGTCCATTCCGCAAAGACGTGTGAGTTTGGTTGGCATCAACAATTGAGAGGATGCCTTGCGGCAACAAAGGAGTATCAAGGATAACATGTGGTTGGAGAACGCGGAAACCGTTGGGGTCCACGGGCAAGCTGCTGTGCCGGCAATCAACGAACACGAGGGTGTTTTTGTTTTTCTCTGCAGAGCTCGGTTCCTGCCTGTGGTGTTTTGACGAGGAGGGTGCAGCACTCCCTCCCCGCGGTGCCCGCGGTTGTCTCCCTTCTCCCGCGAGCTGTGCTTACTGACGTGGTGTTTACGAATCTCTCTACTCCTCCAGCTTCGTGGGCCACGCTTTCCGCGACGGTGGTTGCCAGGTGCGGTTTGCCGCTTTGCAATACTGCCGCGGGAACAGTGTCCATACACACCTACCTCTCGCCACTACCACCGTCTGTGCATCCTCACCGCCACGCTGAGCCAGCGCGGCGGTGAGTTGCACCTTGGGACACCACCCGCCTACTAGTCTATGTTGTTGCCTGGTTCGCTCGCGAGGGACTCACTTGGTCGATTTCGGCCCGGCCGGTGTACCCAGGTGAAAACCATCGGCAGTTTGGATATACCGCCATTTCGCCGAATCAGCTATCTACCCTTCATATAGGCTTATACCTAATATGCGTTTTTTTTATGCTTTTTTTTTCGGCTGAGCATGTGCTTACACAGCGAATTATGCGCGCAGTTATGCTTGTTTTCCAGTTATTATGCATGAACTTGTGCACTTTTGTTTTTGCCGACGGAAGCGATATACACTATACAACATTTTAAGGGTCAATGCGCGAGGTGCGCACGTGCCCCTGTCTTTGCCGACACCGTTAAACACTTGCGGTAACGTTGTTGATTCTGATTCTGTGCTCTGTGCTCTGTGCTCCTCTGATTCCTTCGCACGAAACAACAAGTATACCACTCAAGAAGCAACACACCAACAGACGAACGGACAACACGAGAACACCAGCCGCAACCATGGCTACACCACTCCCCAGCTTCCAGCACGCCTTATTTGCCACATTCTCCTGTTTCTATTTTTCCTTGCCTTTGTTGTACTTGGGAAGTGCGGATGTAGCCACGCGGTCGCTAAGACTATTCTCCTGCCTTGCATCCATACAAGTGTTACGGTTCGGGGTATTCATTGTTCCGCAAGTACACCCCCACAGAGGTAGTTGGCCGCATTCAGCGGAGCCTCTGCAAGAGCTGTCTGGACTCGCCCTCCTCTGCTCACAATCAAGCTACCATCCGGAGCTTACCCTAAAAGAATCAGACCAAAACATCCATCAGGAGGCCTTTGCTCCGACACTACACCTGCCACTACAGCGGGTACGAGTATCTTCACTACTCATCGCACTCGGTACAGTCGTTCTATTGCACAAAGAGAGGTCAGTGTGTGTGCATCGCTGCGTGAGAGGGCTAGAATACCCCTCAGGAGCAGTAATTCCCTTTCTCGCACCAGAAGCAGTGCCTGTTCGTTTACGTCCTTTACTTGGAAGAGGAAGACGTTTAATCTCTTGTATTAGACACCCAAGGGGAGTAGGGAGAAGTGAAGCCCTCTTTGGAGTTCGAGGGTCCCCGCACATGCAACCATTTCAAGGCGTACACATGCCCCATCTGCGTGCCCTCTGTTGTTGCCGGTAGATCTAACCAGTCCGTACCCAAACACACGAGCACCCTCCCCGGTTTGCACGCGAAGGGCAAACCTAAAGTGGGGCATGGATACCCCTGATCTACCAAAGGGACTCAAAACAACAANGCGTACACATGCCCCATCTGCGTGCCCTCTGTTGTTGCCGGTAGATCTAACCAGTCCGTACCCAAACACACGAGCACCCTCCCCGGTTTGCACGCGAAGGGCAAACCTAAAGTGGGGCATGGATACCCCTGATCTACCAAAGGGACTCAAAACAACAACAGACTCGAGGGAAAACCCGGCCAACCGGATCAAAAACCCTCGTCTAACACCCTAAATATAGAAAACCGTCGCTATCACGGAGGATTCCAACGGCCGTACTTCCAAGACAAGACCAAGGCAGGACAGATTGAACCGGTCACGCTGATTACATACCCGAAGCAACGCTATCGGCGTTTCTAAGCTCCAGCCGCGGGTGACGCGCCGGCACAACGCTTCCTGCGTGACGTACCATGGTCGTATATGCCAAGTGCTAAAACCACCACATAAACCAAACAGAACAAGAGAACACTACATCGGTAGGTTCATCAGAGCCTTCCGGTGGTACTCTA